ATTACCACAACCAGCTTATCCACCCCGTTTTCAGCCATCATTTCATACACCCACCTACAATCATTTTGCTGCACCTATCAGACCAGAATGGAGACCCAATCCTAATAGTGGTGTGAAAGCCCCGAGAAATACCCAAGAAAAAATCACTTTCGATCTCATTCCCATGACATACATAGATTTGTATCTTCGACTTGTTGAAAAATATCTGCTTGCTCATGTTATCGTTAAACTCTTGAAACCTACGTTTCTCAAATGGTATGACCCTAATGCATATTGTGATTATTATTATGAGAATCCAGGTCATTTCATTAAAAATTGTACTATTTTGAAGCGTAAAGTGCAAGGGTTAATCAATGAAAAAGTATTAAATTTTGATACCAACCAACAAAGGACTCCAAATGTCAATGAAAACCCTCTACTAAATCATACCAGACCATCAATAAATGCCTTAATTAATGGGCAAATAAGCCATGTGAAGGAAAAAAATAAATGAAGTTAAGACTCCGATGACTAAGGTGTTCGAAGTCTTGATCAAAGTTGATATGTTGAAGTCATTAGAACCTCAAAATTGCTCTGAAACAATTAACTCAACTGAAAGCTGCAATTATCACAGAGGTGTTCTGGGGCATTCTATCGAGAATTGTCACCAATTCCGTCAAGATGTGCAAAAGTTAATGGATATGGGTCGAATAGAGTTTTATCAAGAGAGAAAAGAGTTGGTGAAAGCTGAAGTGTCTACCATTAATTCAAATGGAGATAAAATGATCAAAAAGAAAATTATAAACTTAATTTAATTAATTTATACAAATGTTTTTAAGATATAATTTTTAATACATTTAAAAATTAAAATTTAACATTTATAAACTTTTTATTTAAAATTGTAACTTCTTTCATTAAAAAAAGAAAATTTACGAGGGACACATTCTATTTATAATCTATCCATACACTTAGAATGTTTATTGGCTTAGAATCCATGTAGATAGTAACGACATTAATTTTTGTTAGATTAAAAATAACGATTGAAGTGAAATTAATTATTATAATAATAAAATTAAAATTAATGATTAAATATATATTTTAATATAATAATAATGATAATGGTAAAATAAATTATAATTAAAAAAATTATTAAAAATATTAACTAAAACTTATATAAAAATAAATGTTTTAAATTATTTAATATTTATAAAATTAATAAGTAATTAAAAATTTTTAAATAAAATTTATCTATTAATTAATTTATTATGTAATAAATTTTATTTTATATTAAATTAACAATTTATTTTTAAAATTTTAAATAAAATAATCAAAACGAAAAAAAAAAAGAAAATTTAAAAGTTTTGAACTTAAAAGGAGAAAAATGGAAAAAGGAACAAATAAACCGCCGTAACTGTAAACCGAAGCCTCTCTCTCCAGTAAAAAATTCATACACATCACATCTCACTACAATTCTATTTAGATTTAAAAGCCGCTGTCGGCACATCTTCTCATTATAAACAGACTCACACTAATACTGCGATGATTCCAAACGACTCTTACTGAAATTCATTTGTTGACATAACAGCCAATAAGATTAGAGAAAAGACAAAACAATTTGTATCTTACTTCTATTGACTTATTGGGATGACAAAATTATTGATACTCTAACATGTGCTGTGTATTTTACAACAAGATATTTGCAAACTTATCTGATTTTCTTTTCCACATTAAAATATGGCTATGACTTGGTTAGACCTGGATGGTCAATATCAATCAAATTATTTACCTAGTTAGTTTTTTTATTTGTTTAATATATAAATTATTTTTTATTTATTTAAATGTATTTAGATATATAAATTAATATTATCTAATTACTTATATGTTTAATATATATGTAAACTATAAATAATATAATTAAGATATTAACACATAATAAAAACTTAATTTTAATTAAAAATTTAAAGCATATAATAATATTTGAGAAAAAATAAAATAACCAAAAAATTTATATATAAAAAATATTATCGAATATACCAACAAAATATTAAATTGAAAACTAAAAATTTTATTATTTCAAAGTAACTTTTTTTCATTTGTGCCATTTTCATCTAATTCAATTATTTTTGTACACTTGTAAATTTATATAATTTGAAGGGAAATTTTATTTATTTAAAAAATAATTATTTTGTGTATTCAAATTCTTACATTTGATTTGGGGTATTTGATTCATAAGAATAATTTTAAAATTTTAATTATATCTAAAGTTTCGGAATCATAAACCAACTTCTTGTTATGATTTTTGAAAATTTCAAGAAAAAAATTACTTTTATTTCACATTTAACTTGAATAAAAAATTATTTATGTTTATTTTACCATTTTAAAAATCAACATATGATAATGAAATTTGAAATTTTTTACATACAAGTGAAAACAAATATCACAAATACTACATTTGTTGGAATATTTAACATAGTATTTGAGCTTTTTTTAATGTCAAATACAATGTTTATATGAAACCAAACCCAATAATAATTATTATTTTGTCTAAATTTTTAAAAAAAATTTTCATTTCAACATTATGTTCATAGGTTTTAAAACATAGTAATTGTAATTATTTATTGCCTTTCTTTGAACAAATATGAAGTACTTAACAACTGATTAATTTTTTTACCTATTTTTCTACTTAAATATTGTATTTTGTAGGTTGAAAAGTAATATTTATTATAATTTATTACATTTTTTAAAATAAAAATATAGTATTTGATAATTTATGAATTAAATTTTTTTTCATATAATAATTGCATTTATAGATTTTAAAATACAATATTTATTATTATTTACTGCATTTCTGCTAAACGAAAAGCAATATTTGAAAAATGAGAGCATAGAATAAAAAGTAAAGAAATCCAATTGATAAACAAGATTAAAGGCACCGGGGTGCTTGATCGAAAAGACTATTACAACAACCCAGGTGACAAATAATCAAGTAATAAAGTTTTGCTCTGTTGAAAGATACGGTGACAAGTAAAGGAAAAGACAAAAAAGTGGACCCATCTGCCACAATAATTGTACTCATTATCATTTATTTTAAATTATAAAAATTATATTTTTTTAAGATAAAAGAAGTAACTGTATATTATTTTTTTAAAAAATTAATTAAATATTGTGTTTTTTAAGTTAAATTTAGTAATTATTTTTTGTAATTTTATAAAAACATATGTATAATTAATTATTATATGACATTAATACAATAATTGATAATTAATTTTTTCTTATAATTAATCATTCGAATATTGTATTTTTACTATTTAAAATGCTTCAATTGTCGATCATCTTTATTTGATAAATTATATAATAAAATAATTGTACTGTCTATAATAATTACACACCCATCTGCATATCCAAATAATTGTAGTGTTTATGACAATTACACACCCAACTGTCTATTCAAATAATTGTACTGTCTATAATAATAACACACCCAACTGCATATTCAAATAATTGTACTGTCTACAATAATTTCACACCCAACTGCATATTCAAATAATTATATTGTCTTATAATAAATACACACCCAACTGCAAACTGTCTATCATAAATACACACCCAACTGCATATTCAAATAATCCATAATAATTTCACACCCAACTGCGCATTCAAATAATTATATTGTCTATAATAAATACACACCCAACTGCAAATTCAAATAATTGTACTGACTACAACAATTACTCAAATCATTATACGTGTCACCTAAATAGTACTAACTTTTTTGCTTAGCCACAAATGTCTACATCCAAACTCCACGTCCTATATCCCAATTTTCTTTTCCTTTTTCAATAAGCAAGGTAGGCTTTCACATTTG